TTTGGAGTTCCCTATGAAATTCTAACGGCTAAACAAATAGTGGCATCAATATTTAAGAGTTTAGTATAATTCTACTTAAGGGGTTTCATACAACATAAAAAATCGATATCCTCGTTAGCGTTTCTAACATATAATCATGTACCAGACATATAGAATTCTAGAGGTGGTCTTTCTAGATTTAAGAGGTGTCTTCACCATGTAACACTTTGTCCCATTAGGGTTCAAAAGGAGACTCCCATGATGCTCTTTATTTTGTATAACACTTAATCTCATCTTCATTTTGGTGCAATGCTTTGAAACCAATTCTAACAACTTGAATTCTCACACGTAAAGATATTAGCTGCTTTAGCCTAGTGGCTTTATGATTTTTCCTTATTGGTATAACTTCTTTGTAGGACAACCATCCTAAGAAGTGCTTATGAGCAATTTAACTTTGGAGTTCCTAATAAATTTCATTTGTTATACTAAAAGCCACCTCAATATTTAAAAGTTCAACTTCATTCTACTTAATGTGTTTCACATTAATAATCATCTTGCTGATACAGGTGATAGATTGTTCGTAATGGGTTTAACATCATTATTGGTAAATGTCATATTATTCCAAATCAAAGAGCATTATTTCAGGTTATTTAATTACAATATTATATTGTAAGTGATTTTAAACTATATAAATATTAGAGCGGGTTATAATAAGTGACATATTTATTGTTAGTGAAAAGGAATGGGTAGCACATATTTTTGTCTGCGCTAACAATTGGTGGGCAAACATCATGATCATAATGAGAGAAATTATAGAAATGAATTAAAATTATGTCTTATTCATATATTTCTAAGAAATCCTTAGATCATTATTTGGTTTATATTTATGTTTATTTAAGATGGAGATGGATTTGCTTAAAGTTGCACATTATGAAAATTTTAATTATAAGTTAACCCATTTAAACCTAAGTTTTTTTATTTTTTTTTTTTTTTTTTTTTTTTAGGAAAGCCACTAGCCAATAGCTTGATGAAAATGATCAATTGTTGCAATGCATTGAGTTGACTAAAGTATAATATCATAAATGATGTCATCATCAACAATAATAGATTAAAATTTTAATAAATTGATGATCAAGAATGGTTTCGAAGAATTTATTCCTTATTATATGTATCTAATAAAGAAATATGACAATATCTTTTAATTGATATTGATCAACTTATCTCATTGATTTAAGATTTTAGAAATGTTGTACGATAGAATATTTACAAAAATAGAGAAAGATGGTTTGATATCTTAATTTTGTATAAAAATATAGCGCACATGAAGATGAACGTCGAGTTATAAGAGATTTCAAAGTCTTTTATGTGCAAAAATCAAGAGAAAAAAAATATGGGGACTAGCCCAATTAAATGTATTCCACTATTGTATGTTATCAGTAATAAAAAATGCTCTTTCTTATAATTAGCAAATGCATTCATATAATGCAATAGATATAACTGTCAATGATATATTTTCATGATGGAAGTCAGAACAACCATTTGGCATCATGATTGTCTTCAGGGCATTATTTACAATATGTTAAATTACTATTTTTTTTTAGGAAGGAAGATTAGAGATTAAAAATATATATATAATATAAGTATAAACTTTGACATCAAGGGTCTAAATCGGTGTTAGTAATGTACATCGATTTTATTGATGATGGTGCGGATTAAAATTATTAGTGATGACAAGTGAAAAAATCAACGGACATTGGACTAAATCAACTGACATTAGCGCTGATGTCGATGACATCTATCGATCTTATAATGATGTCATACACCAAAAACATGCATCGACCATATAGATGACGATGTGTGCTGGTTAGAAAATCAATGACATGCATCAACAACATACATCAATCATATAGATGATGATGGGCAACAAGATGTGGGCATTTATGCAGCCGGGTTGTAATGGATGGATGAATGTAGTCGAGCAATGGTGGGAAATCAGAAGATTATAAAGATTGTAATTGGACAATGGTAGTTAATAGATCATAATCAATGATAATGATTGAGCGACCTTTATTTGGTGATGATGTTCAAGCATTTATAGTTCGGTGATGATGATTAGAGAATCATAATAGGGTGACAATTGATGAATGAATATTATAGTTGGATAATAGCAATCATAACACTATAATCGGGAAGCGATAGTTAAGAGATAAAATAGAGTGAATGTGTCCTAAATATTATAGTCATGTAAGAGTATTGGATGATCATAATTAGGCAACGATGGTTTGATGAATATGATTGAAAAATTGTGGTCTAAAGAAGTTGTTTTGGTGCTTGTGGTCAGGAGTTGTAATCAAGCGACAATGGTTCGACGATGATAATTGTACTGCAATGCTTTAATTTGGAAAGTTGATGGTAAAGATCCAATGATGATAATTGAGCAACACTAGTCGGATATAGCTTTAGGATTTTTCAAACCTCCTTGTTCTTTCCTTATCCCCTCCATTTTTTTTAAGGTGAAGACTCTAATTACAATTTTTACAAGTGATACTTTGAAATATTGAGCTAACATCTTAAAATACAAAGTGACCCCCCTTAATCATAATCTATTTTGAATATTTAAGTGTCTCAATGATACGAAAATTCAACAATTTCTGAGCTCGTTGGATTCGTCTTGTCCATAAACTTGATTTTATCACAAACATACAAAATTTGAAAATTTTTCTCATCAAATACAATTCTAGAAAATTTTAATCATTCTTCAAGTGCTTGATTCCTCTCATTTAAAGCTGGATCATATCACTTATGGCATTGATGATTTAATTTCGTAGAAACTCTCAGTTTAACTATATTTTTTGTTGAAATCAGAATTCGTGTGAACATTCTCTTCAAATCTATACAAAATCGAACTAATTTTTACAAATCCAAAAATAACTAAAATGATGAAAAAAGTGAAAACAAAATCACTCAAAAAAAAAAATCAAATATTTAAAAAATTGTCACCATAACATAAGAAGTTACAATGAATGACATTTGGCACTTTTTTTTTTTTTTTTTTTTTTTTTTTTTAACTCATATGATCCTCACTAATGAGACATAATTTTGCAAGGGTGACATGTGCCTTAATAGTTAATATTAACCTACTTTTTTTCTAAAAAAATACCCTTATTCTTGTCTAATGACATTCAGTTGGACTTGGCATTTTCAACTTTATGATGCAAGCATTTTGACATCGAATTATGCTTGAAACATGTAAACGTCACTCTCACCAAAAACAAATGCAAACATTTATGACTTTTTGTGCCATTTGTAATCTTCTTTTCTTCTTCTGCAGTTGCTCTGTCGATTTCCCAGAGGCCCTTCCAACTAAATCCAACTACATTAAATGAAAGGAAGACTAGCATCCATATGACTCGATTCTTATGTCTTTACATTTCCAACTCTTAAATTTTAGTTTTTACAAACATATCACTTCACTTTTTAAAAGCTAAAAGTGAAAATTTTGGGTGGCAAAATTATGAATAATAAAATAGATGTTAAATACTTAAATATATAGAGACATAGGAATTGGGCATATGAATAACTAAATATTAACTTGGATGATTGGAGATATGAATAACTAAATATTAACTTGGATCGACTCTATTGGAGGGCATACTATCACATCTGATCAGCTTTCATGTAGTGGCTGACTTAGATGCTCCTTCATGTTGTTTATTGTCGATTAGTCCATGCTTGAATCATTTAGTCGTCTTTAGTTTGTCTTGTGGTCTGGTCAGTTGTGGCATTGTCGTGACTCGTACTGTTGTAATTTAACTTATTTATGAATTGATTTTTAATATTTTAATTAAAATATAAAAATGTTATATTGTTTGAAAATTTAAAATATGACAAGAATTGACTTTAAGCTAATGTTTTTTTATTTGATTTGATTTGATTTAATTTAATTATTTGCATGAATAAACAATAATATTCAAGTTATAAATTCATTTCATATTTCATTCAACGGCTTTCAATTATTTATAATCAATTTTAATTTTAATTTGATTTTATTTTATTTCTGACTATTTCTTTTTTAATATTAAAAAACTACGAAATGAAATCACATAGGCTGAATTTAAATACCGTTTGATTTAAATTTTGCGTTTTCGTTGGTTTTTTTTTTCCATCTCTCGGATTCTTTGTTCTTTTGTAAATATTTTATTTGAATAATTTAACCTTCGTTTTTCGATCTTATCTACGATGTCTTTGAGACTTAAAATCTACGGCTAATTAATAAGAAAATCTTATAAAGCTAATTTAAATTAATTTATTTTTTTTTTCTCGTAGAACTCGTTGAATTAAGTTCGAGCGTGAGCTCGTGCTCGATTATTAATCAAGTTCCAGCTCGAGTTGGACTTCATTTATTTTACAACTCAGCTCAAAACCTTATTAAAATCATATCACATATTATAATTTTAATTTAAAAATATGATAAATATATAATTATATATAAATAAGATAATATATATTTAAAAATTCAAAGTTCAGATATGTAAAAATGATGAACATGTATTTAATATTAATTATTTTTGGGCAGAGCGGCGAGAAAATATTCCATCCGGACTAATCATTGGAGGTCACTTCGTCATATATGTTATCAGCGGATGAGGTGATCCTCGATTGTTAACCGTCCGGACATGAGAACGTCTAGATTGAATATTTTTCCGAGTGCGAGACACACTTAACATATTTTAGCAATTTTCACTAATAATATAATTATTTTGAAAAAAAAATGGACTATATTAACTAATGGTCATCGACCACCATGTCCACGCGTGGTGTTTTCAAAGCAACCAGCGGCCCAGAATTCTACCAGGCCCATGATTGTCCAACATAAAATAGTCTCATAAATTTAAAATTAAATTAAATTTTAAGTTTTTTTTCAACTAATCAATTAGCGCCATTAATAAAATGATTATTTTAAATAAATTACAGTAAGAGCGTCCGCGATATTTAAATCCAACTATGAGTGATTTCAGATCCGTTGCCTGTTCAAGGTTTGGTGTGTCTCGTGGGAAATGAAAAAGAGTGTCTCATTTTTTTAGGGGAGGAGAAATCCAGTTTCCTTCGTCTTCTTCGGCTGAAGAAGTTACAGATCTCTGTTTAGGTTGATTCGCTATAGTTGGGCTGATCGTTTCGCCGTTTCTTCGCTGGCGATTTTTGGTGATATTGCTGCTGCTTTTCAGGCATGGAGCTTGCCTATTCAGGAATCAGATGAAGTGGATAAGTTCACGTACCAGCAACGAACTAGTGCTCCTTTGGATGAATTGGTGAGCTGTTTTTACTGATTTTGTTTGTTTGGGTGAGTTTTGGTTGTTTATCTGATTGTTTTTGTTGGCGATCTGTGGTGCTAGGGGATTTTGGGTGAGGAAATAGTGAAGTTGAAGAAAGGAAAGTTCAGGATTCATTGAGAATAGTTGACGTTTTACTGTTGGAGCTTGTTGACTTGTGTCGTAGGAAGTTTTGTTGACTTTCGCTTGTGGATCGGAGCGGTGGAAGTGTGATCGCAAGGTTCGGAATATCATGACTCGTATGGAGTGATTGTTGTTTAGATCGGCGTCGCTTTGCTCTGTTTTAAGTGATCGATCTAATGTTTGATTGATGTTATCTGTTTTTTCTTTGATAGATTTGTTGTTATGGAGACGCTTGTTGTTCTCGCTCAGCATCGCAACCAGGCATGCAGAAGAAGCAAGTCACATATCTCTGATCGGTTCGAAACATCTTCTTCAAGTGGATTCAAAGGGATCAACTGTCGGACCTTCCAGTCCGGTACAGGAATTCTTCCGTCTCCTAAACCGGTTTTTGCTTCTTATGGTAATGCCCAGGAGTTCAACAGTCCGGAAATTCGATCAGAAACTCCAAAACCAAGCAGAAAAAGTAGCCCCATCGCAATTACTCCTAAACCATCCCCCAAGTTTTCTTCCTCCTGTGATGATCTCTCTTACTCTGAGCTCTGGGCTGGTCCAACATACTGTAACTCCCCTCCTCCGAGTTCTCTTCCCATCCCCAAGTTCTCTCTCCGCCAGAAAAGAAGTGTTTCTCTTGACCTTCCTGATTCGGACTCTGACATTGAGCTTAAGCCGGAGGCTAAATCTGCTCCAGCTTCCCCTGTACGGGATTGCCCCCTATCACTTGCTGATGATTTCTTACTCGGCACTGCTTCCGCGACACAAAATCTACGACGTATTCTGAACCTAGATCTTATGAACTGAGGTCTATTGAGGATTTGTGTTTCTTTACTGTTACAAGGTGGTGATGAGGTTGGTTTCGGATGAGCTGTATATACAAATTGTGAATAACTTGGTGAGTGGCGTCGCTTCTTACCAATCAAGATGGTCCTTTTCGAAAGAATCTTATAGAAGATCTAACGTAGCTGTATGTTTGATCATAAAATTGGGTGTTGCTCTCTCTGGTAATGGGCACTCCTTTGTCTGCGGAGGTTTCTAGCTTTAAATTTATCTATCCTTGATCTGAATCTGTCGTTTGTCATTTCTGTTGTAGAATCCTAGTAGTTTAGTGTATGACACATGGTTTCTGTACATCTCTTAGTAGGATAAGTAGGATTCATTGCTTATCAAGAGTGTGAGTGAGTCTCTTGTTTATTGTCTAAGTTACTTGTCTATGTATCATTTCTCCTCCCCTGCTCATCTACCCTCGTTTCTTTTGCTTTCTCACCTCATTCTTCTACTGACTATGATGCCTTCCGAAGGCTTCTTCTGTCCCTGCCCACTTTTTCTGGTTTTTTGTAAAGGAAAAGTTGGGAGGTTGGAAGAATGACTCCGCTCTTTTTTTTTTTTTTTCTTTGTTTATTTTTTCTTTCATATTGGTGCTGACAGTTGTTCTTCATTTGTGTGTGTGTGTGTGTGTGTGTTTTTTTAATATATCCAACTCCATAAATTTGACCTCTTGCTTCGTCTTTCACCTTAAAATTTTCATTTTTCATGTCCATCTCTATCTCTGCTACTCGTTGGCAAATGTCTCATCTTCTATTTCTTAGTTTCAGTGTCAGTCGGGTCTGCTTTTAGTTTTGTTGTTCAAAATCTAAATCTTCATGGAGTTCAGCTGAAAAAAAATCCCAATATCAAGGTAAGCATATCTATTCAATTTTCATTTTTCTAGCAGCACAAAACATTCCTGATTTTATGGAATCACCATCTAAAATTTCATCTTTTTTTTTGCTAGTTTTGTACTGGAGAATGTACTGGTGCTGGTTCTTCTTTCATCAGACGCGGTAATGTAATCCTTGTCTTTGCATCCTTTATGAACAACGGCTATCGCCGGTAGTTTAGTTTATCTGTAAAATTGCTGTTCTGTTGGATGGCAATTCGACTATAAATTTAGTATTTGATTTTATGTCTGTATGTTTCAAATTTTCTTATGATACTATGCTGTTTGATTTTCGTTTGATTTTCAAACAAAATGTATACTATGCTGTTTGATTTTCAAACAAAATGTATTTTTTTTTTTTCATTTTCCATCCGTCTGAATTTCTAAATTTTTATTGGGGCACATACATGCATACCACACAATTCTTATGTTTTTGCATATCTAACACTTAAACATTGCTCTTTACGTTATACCACACAAATCTTTAATTTCGCATAAAAAGCGCCACTATTTAACTTCGATGTGAAATATACCTTGTTATGCATAGGTATATGTAAAAATTGATGTTTGGGTGTTGGATATAAGAACTGAGGTGGTATGTATGTAAATCTTCCATTTTCTTATATGCTTCTGAAATCTGCTAGCTCACCATTGTTTCAATGTTTTTTTAGTAGTATTTTATAATTGTAATTCAGGATCGGTTTTTTGGCTTATCGATTTGGTGGATTTGATTTGTATTTTTAAATTGATCAATAATAACTCATTAATGGAACGTATTTAATTGTGCGGCAATTCCAGTCTTTAAACACTCTTCAAAGTTAATCGACTTGACCAACTCTCTGGGTTAAACACTCTTCAAAGAATCGACTTGACCAACTCTCTGGGTTTTGTTTCAATACTTATTACGTAGACAATATTGCTAAATATTTGCATGGGGCAGTGCAATGGGATATGAATTTTCGTCTACATTTTCAACAAATTTGGGACGTTTGTCGTGGCTTTTGTTTTGCAATTTCTTAGCCGCAAAAGAAGGAAAAGAAAGGAAAAGATAAACCCGAATTTGTCCTTAGCAACATGAAGAAATCAGCATTAATACACAACACAGTCACCTTTTTATAAAAGAAGAGGTGTAGCTGATCATTATGGTCTTTACACTTCACAGAGGCTTCTCATTGAAGAGTGCACAATAATGAATAATCCATAAATACAATATTATCAATCTTTCTTATTTTTTTTTTTATTAAGAGGGATAGGATTTAATAAATTGTCATGAATCAACAATCTTTAAAAGAGGGAGAAGTTGAGCCGAGTAATAGGGTAAATGGATGGGATCCCCAAAGCCACTTTCATCTTCGGTTTGAATTAAGAGATCTGGCTACTGGCATGATTGGACCAAGCTTGCCTTTTGATGAGTTTTTTGAAGAGCATCATGCTTGTTGTAAAGAACAAAGATGGCGTCTCCTAGGGCATAGTATTACGTTTCATTGGGAAGGTTAGTAAAATTGTTACAAGCCATCCATGTGCTTTGGAAGACGGGGGTTAGGTAGGTTGGGCCATATTGGGGGAGTGGTCAGAGCATGTCACCTCCATAATTTTATAATAAGAATGGGGAAGGATATCAACCTAACCTTCATTAATTAAGGATCTATCAAGCAAAACTCATTTTTGAATTACCAATGTTTATTGATTGATATATATATATATATATCCTAATTATTATTTTTAAATATTTTAATATCTTATCATACATCAAGTATATCCATCCTTGTAGATAAACATAAAATAGTTTGGGTTGAGGTTAAACAATTCAAATTGAAGATCACTGAAGATTAATATTCAATTCAATTTTATTTTTAAAAAATTTACATACAATAAAACCTTTAATCTAAAATTGGATAAAATTTATAAAAATTTAAAATCGTAATCATATCATGAAAATGAATATATTTCACTGGAATAGTCACTGTGATATTTTAAGATATGGTGATAGCTATAATTATGAAATTATAAAAGTTAGACATCTATATTCGTAGGAAAATATTGCCTGCGTGAGAAGATTATAACAGTTCAAATTAAATTAATTCAAATATTAGAATTAAATGATGGTTATAGGCAAAGCTATACGTAAGAATTTGACTGATAATTTGAGTCCACAGGACACATTGAAGCTTCCTTCTGGAAACGGCAAAGTGCTTTCGTCATTCATCTTACCACTTTCAACTGCGGAAAGGTTGTGTAAATTGAAGCATATTAGGGCACCAAATTTAGTCGAAATAGTCCATTTTTCGTTTTTTCTATTAATTATTCAAACCATATAATTTAATAGTTCTATAGCCTAGTTGGATTTATTATTACACTTACCTACCTACCATATATGAGTCACTGAACCTTGGTATATATGTGTATGTATATATGGGTGGGTGCATTTATGTCTCTCACTCATCATTCTAGAAAATTAATATCAAACCTAAATTCATTAAAGATTTTTTATAAACATAAAATCAACATTGATCTTAAAGAGAATGAATGGTCCAAAAGAGTGTAGTGTAGGTTGCCCCCACTATTAGGAGATTGTAAGGTCCACTTGACTGATTGAGAGAAGTCATACGAGCCAAGCGAATAAGGCTAAAATCGAGTCAAATGAGTAGTCAAGCCACCCACTACAAAGACAACCAACATAACATGTTAGCCTACAATCTATTATGGTCGATCAAAAGGAAAATCCGGTTTCACAATATTTTCAATCATCTCATGGACACCCCAATGGCTCCTCACCAAGGATCAAGTATCGACAACCATGTTAGATCAGCTGATCAACTCATGCCAACCAAGTTCAACCAATCGAGTTGATCATGTCGACCTGAAGTCATCTAAGCTTTGTTGGCCAAGCTAGAAAGCATCAAGAAATAACTTATACATGTAAAATATCAAAAATACCACGGTGACCTCTTCCAAAAAAAGGGGCAAAAAATGTAACACCATCATTGTATCCTCTCTCTCTCTCTCTCTCTATCTCTCTATCTATCTCTTCTTATTTATGTTCTATGTCTTGCATGTTATTCACGGTCAAATCTGAATTCAACATTTTGGATTAATTTAAATTTTAATTAAGACTGAACCCATTATAACTTTATCTACAAGTATAGATTTTTAAGAAGCCCATAAATAATAATATAAGAAATGTAATTGAATTTTTTTTTTTTTTTGGATTGAATAATAATATAAGAAATGTGTACTTTTTTCTGGTGAGGTATTGTCAATATTATTTGATTTCAAAAGAAGTCACTTTCTGCCAGAATGAGATTAATTTTTCTTTGCATAAATACTATTTGGTCTTATATATTTCTTATACATTATCTTTTTTTTTTTTTATGAATTTTTGTACTTTTGTTTTTGGTCAAAAAAGGCAAATTTAATTCATTTGCTTGTTGATTTTATTTACTTAAATTTCTTGTGGGAAATTGTCATGCATTTTACTATCATTTCATTATTAGTTTGGCATAAAATTTAATGGTGTTATCTTTCATTTCAAAAAAATAGGCTTTGGGTGAACCCTATAATTATTTCCTTCCATTAAGACATCCAATGCAATATACTAATTGCACTAATGCATCATATCCTAAGTGATTATGCATCAAATTATTGTGGGAGTGTAATTTGAAGTTTTTAAAACCAAAGTTACATGACAATATTACGAAAGAAGGTTGAAGTGACTACCTTTGATGGTAATATTGATCCTAAAGCTTTGTATATCGTAATTACTCCATGCTCTTAGTTTCTTTCAATCACAACTCATATTTGATGAATAATAAGTGTAATTTATGAAAATAAATTTAAGTAATTAAACTAAAATTTATTGGATGAATATAAAGTGATAAATGTTGAAATGAGCAAAGGAGGGAAAGAAAAATGGGCTGAAATAAAATAACTAAAAGGTACATATTTGCCTTAATCATATTCACTCAACTTATCAATTTATTTCATTAAATGAATATGCAAAAAAATTTGAAGAGCACTAGTTGAATATTGAGTTCATCGAAGATGCTAGAACCATATTCTTATGGTTTATGTCTCATTGGAGATGTGATATCATAAGAAATAACAACTATATTTTATCACTTGGCATACTTTTCAACTTTATAAATTGAAGAAATGTTTGAATTTCTTACATCTAAGAGGATTACTATGTATTTAAGAAGTGCATCACTTTATCAAAATAATCAAGTTCTATCACTCACATGTTGAGTGCCAAATCTCCTTATTAAATTTGTTTCTAAGAAAATTTTGAATTTATTTTAAATGTATTATCTTTGGTATCATTTAAAACATTAATCACATCCAAAAGCATATAAAGTAGATTCGGTAGATAAATGCAACATTTATGTCTCAAAACTGAAATTTAGGTGTTAGATCTATAAATACGTTGGGCTTGTTTTGGTTCATTATAAAATTTAAAATTAAATTGAGAAATATTGTATGATTAACATTCAATTAAGAGTGATCATATTTTTATTTTATGTTAAATAGAGAGAAAAGTATATTAATAGACGTTAGTCATATATTCACAATAAAATTAGGTCAAATAAAATTTCATTTTGACCATTCAAAATCTTGTGCGATAAAGCTGCAACTCAGTTTCAGGGTGCATTGGGGGCAGCGGTGTGATGGCGGTAGCACTACACTTATTTGGGTTTAACAATTTTGTCTGTTTTTACAAAAACCTGCATTTTACAACCCGACACAACCTAAGTGTGTGGTTGCTAGAAAGATATGTTTGACAGTAGTGTGTTTTGAAAAAAAAAAAACTTGTTTAATAGTCATAACAACTTTTTGAACAACTTCACAGTTGCTTCTTCAAACAGCTGTAATTGCCCCAAACAAACCCTTAATGTAACTTAACTCTTTAGAATGTCAAGGGGCTTGAGGTCCATTTGAGGCAGCTACAACTCAGAAGCAGTTGTGAAACTGCTTTTGAAGAAATCGTTTTTCAAAAAGCTGCAACGACAATTACAAATTTATTTTATTTTCAAAAAATTATACCGCAACTTTTTGACCGCCACCACACTTTAACAGCTCAGATTAAAAAAGTAGTTTTTTATCACAGAAATTTCTAAAAACAACACGAAAACAATTCCCCAAACGGAATTGTGGTGACGATCTGAAAAAGCAAAGCAGAGATAAAGCTATCCTAAACAGACCCTTGATTTGCTTTAATTATTTTATTCAAGATCTATTTCTTCAACACATCAATTTGGCTTAAAATACTAACTGCATTGAGAAACCAAACCCTGATTCATCTTTGCATCAATAAATATTTAAAAAAAAGGAAAAAAAAAATCGTTAGAAATCAGGAATGAAGACATGCAATATAACTTAAAGCCACGAATTTGATGGGGCTAAAAATGGCAATACTCTACACTAGGACTAAAAAACGGTGGCATGCCTTGTAATTATGAATTTGTTTTCAATAACATTCAAAATTTACAGTCGTGCGTTGAAAGATGAGCAGCAAATACTAACAAAAAAAACATTTAGTTCTACAAAACATATTAACATTTAAAAAAGCAATGGAAAGCAAGTAGCAGGTGTACTTAAGGACGGTGAATTCGGGCAGAAGCAGCAGCAAACAGTGTTCTGAAACTTGCAGTTCTTTTACAGTGAGGAAACAAATTTTCAGTTAAGAAACTTGTTTTCCAATTCTATTTTCCTTTGGTAAGAGCCAAAACAGCACCTTTAAGCTCAACGCAGACACATATGTGGCTTCAAAGCATTCATTCTGAGTATTCCTTCCAAAGTTGATTGAGAAGAAGAAAAGCCAAAAGATGATGATCAGCTCAACTTGGTTTGGTTCGTATCGGACCTCTTTTCTTCTGGCATATCAGCTGGAAGTAAGGTCAGGAGCGGCAGAGGTAGCAATGAGCTGAGATTACAAAGAATGATTAAGAGAGACAAATTGGTGAAACTATCCTTGGTGATGCCAAGAAGTTGAGTCAGGCCAGCACCCATAAGACCACCAGATACACTTCCGCCATTTGAGATGGACATTAAAGTAGCAAAAAGAGTTGCTTCCATGCCGGCCGGGCACAGCCGAGCCGCTAGAACTAGTACAGGCATGAATGAGGCCTGCAACATTGGTTACAAAAGGAGGTGAGTAGCTGATGATTGATGGTGGTGATTTTTTTCTCAACGAACTTTGGGAAAAATAGTTTCCGCCCCCCTAAAAATCATCTCCATATTCTGATCTATTCATGACTGTTTATAATTTACACACCAAAAATATTTAGATATGTTGTACCTTCTATAGCAGCATCACCTACTTTATCGAAGGCAAACTCAATAACGCCACAAAATTTGGCGATTACTGCTAGGCGTAATGAGCCGAAGATTCAATTCCTCTTTTAAATTAACTGGGTGGTAACTGCACTGGTGCAGTACATTAGTTCATGTGAGATACTGGAGAAGTTTGGAAAATATATATTTTTAGTAAAATTTTGAAATTAAGATGATGTTAAATAAGTGGGAAAGTACCATTTTGGTATCCAAAGCCAAAGAAGATATTCAGGATGGCAGTAATTAATTTGTAATATTTAATATATAAGAATCAATTACATTGATAAGAAATACAGGCTTTGAAAAAATATATTGACGGTAAAGAATCAAATTAATTTTATATCAAGGATAACTATTCTGGACATGGTTTTTGTATAGAAATCAAAGAGAGGATCCTCATGATTTTCATTTATCAATAGAAAGCATACGACCAAAATACCATATGAATTGACTTGGTGCATATAAAGAAAAAAAAAAACATTAATGAATTGACTTGGTGCATATAAAGGGTGCATATAAAGAAAAAAAAAAACATTAATAAAAATTTATTTCCATTATTAAAGATATACAGGGCATCAACTAATATTAGTATTATTTATAGAGTAAACAAGGGGCTTCTAATCTTATTAAGGTTATAATCAAGGATCAACATTAAGTCTATAATTTGCTAATCAAAATGCTCATAAGTCACAATAAAGTATTCTAGTGTATGCTTTTTTCCTAATGACATGATTTTAAATGTGAAATCTTCCTAGAAATAAGTAAGAAAATCAGATCGTTTAAAACACCATTGAGGAGATAAAAGACCTAGAATAAACAAAAGTAGATGATATGCGACTTCATTGGCAATGATAATTAACTATCAAAACTAATAAAGCATAAATTAATGCCAATGCGCAATCTATTTAAGTATTGTGAGCTCCAAAAATTCCCATCGCTCCCTGAAAGCTCTGCATTTTTTTTTTTGTTTTTTGTTTTGTTGAGAGAGCTTTGAAATGTTGAATTTTCAGAACGCACATTCGATTGTAGATATAACAATACCCAGAGATTTCGCCCTCATTCAGCTAGAACTTTCTGCTCTGAGATTCGAGTTTTTCCATAGGCGCAAGCCTCTATGGTTAATTAGTCCTCCCAATAAAATGAGAACACTTTCAACTAAGACTAGTCATTAAGAATTGCATATGCAACATACAATAGCAGTAGACTTAAGATTTTAAATTGTAAAATTCATAACTTGAAGCTTAAAGTGGTTGGGGGAATCAAGACGAAATTCGATCAAGTTCTCATGGTTCCGTCATCCTGGATCGTTATGGTTCTTGATTTACTTAGTCAGAGGAGGTAGTCGACCCAAAATGACAATGATTCTTGTTAATAACGATGAGTTGTGTCGACCAAGAGATCCTTGTAGATCTGGGATCAATATTTGTCTAAGAGAACAAATTTAGGCCGACTTTAATAATAAAAGACTTTATGCCAATCAATTTTATTTGTATGATTAACACCTCAAAGCGTAGAAAATCGTTGGGAATATACGGGCTGTGGTCGTGACTGTAATATAATGGCGTCATTTGAAGACAACCACCCGGTCAAAGGGCTATGGTAATAACCGTCGATTTGTGGTGTCATATGGAGGCAAAACCATGCAGACAGAGGACTTTGACTACGTTTTTACCAGCATGTGATTGTTTTTATTGTGAATATAGAAGTGCATTTGATATGACATTCGCTCTTTACAAGTAAAAGTTTATTAAAAATTTGCACCCTCGACAAACTGTTGCAAAGAGGGGATGAATTTTGCTTTTGAATTTTTAAATGATTGAATTTTAGCTTGAATTTCAATTAATTATTTTGAAAATTGTGATTTAAAAGAATGACTACTCCGGTTAAAATATTAGATAAACCCGACTATCATCGGCGATTTGAGAATTTAAAACTTATATTTGAAGAGGAAGCATTTAGTTTTGTTAATTTAGACTTTTTGGGTAATAAACGTCAGCTACTATCTTCCAAGGAGGAGAATCAGACTAGGTAATTTGGACTTGTAAATTATTATTTTAGGATTTGAACGTTTATTTCAAAACTATTAGACTCGTCAACTTCAGTCCTTACGAGGGGGAGGATCAGACTTAATTGGGTGGGATGTTTATTTCAGATCATCTCCGCTCCAACCCTGCCCTATAGACAAAGCGGCTTGATTAATCTGCGCAGCATTCTTAAACCTAATATTTGAGCGTTCAATATATATATATATATTGGTTGAAGCACTTGCGGGCTAATTTTGAAATTGTGTTATACAAGATTTTGAGATTACACATAATTGACCCATAAATGTCTTAAAATTTTTATAGTCTGAGAGCGTTCAACTTATTATTCATATACCTTAAAAGCACTTGTACAAGTTCCAAAGTCTTGTATTTGACTTTAAGAAAGCCTTGAACTTTAAGATTACACATTTCTTTTATCATTTAGAACATAGGATGCTTGAAGCAAGTGTTATGATTTTTTGGCTAATACTTTCATTTTGAGTTTTATGAAGGATCATCTTTTACTTGCTAGTAGATGTATTGCGATTCCGGTGACGACATTTCAAAATTTCAAAAGGTTTTATATTTGAATTATTTTTCGTCCATTAGAAGTCTAAGTCCGAAAAACTCTATTTTGAATTGATTTCCAAGCTCTAGGGGCCTAAGTCTAAATAGCTCAATTTCAAAATATTTTTTTAATTCTTGTAAGCTTAAACTTTAAAGTCTAAATTTTAATATTTTTAAGTCCTGAATTTTTATGTTTTAAAAGCGTTGAGAGCCTAATTTCTTTAAAAGCCCGAGTCCTCGATATTTTAAAACCTACGAGCCTAAACTTAAAAGCTCGAGTTTCCAAATTATTTTAAAATTCAAAATGAGTCATTTTATTTTCTTTTATAGCCTCAAAATTTCAAATATTTTAGGTTGATTATAATTCCAAATCACTGAAAATTCCAGCAGCTTTCTGACGTCAACCCTTGTTAGGGGGCATGGGAGAATGCCAACATTCCCAGCTATATCAAAATAATCGTTAGCCAGTGTCGTAAGACACTATGGTCCGGGAGCAAGAACAACATTTAACCCGTGATCTCAAAATATGCAACGGGCCTTCAAAATACCTGCAGAAAATGTTAGGTTACAAATTAACATCCTCATTTCGACAGCCTCCAAGTGTCAACCGGTGCAAAGGGGCACAGAATAGTGTCAACCTTCTCAGCTATTTCAACAGAACCGCTCGTCAGTGTTTTAAGACACTACGACCAGGGAGCAAAAAGAGTATTTAACCCGCAAACTCAAAAGATGCGACGTGCCTTCAATGTATGTGCAGAAAATGCTAGGTCACAAATAAACATTCTCTATTTTTAAAAATAATAACCGGATAATGCCGAGAATTGGGTCGATCGTGCAAAGGCTTCGACGGAAGGAGGCGAAGCAGGTTAGGGAGGCGCAAAATAGAGAAGATTGCTCATCTCTAGCATGAGAAGGGCAGAATGGAGCGGGCACTGTGCAAAGGAGCAGACACGGTCTGTAGAGGAACTCGATTGCGAACTTAATGAAATAAAAGCAGAGCATGCGCAAAAGAAGGAAAAAGCAGAGAGGCAGTGAAGTTGCACGTGGAGCGATGAACAGTGGGGTAGCTTTGTGAGTACGATTAGAGAGAACAGAAGCGAGGACTCTTGTCGTGTATGGAAATTTTCACACGTAGCTATCATGCTAGCGACTTCTTGCTTGCTCCTGTGCGACTATGTTGGGGGAAAGTGTTCACAAAGACTGAGAAGGAAGACAGAGATGGGGAGAAGGAAGACAGAGACGGGATGGTGAGTAGTTTAAAACAGGGAAGAAGAGAAAACTGGTGGAGTGCGACTTGGAACAAGTACAGCCTAAGCAGAAGGATTATGGAGAAGAAGAAAGAAGAAGTGAAGGAGAACGAGTGCAAACCTACGTGTGGTGAAGTGTTGTAGGGCTTCGATGATTTCAACGAGAAATATATATGAACTTTCTTGAATGGAGTTCGGACAAGAAGAATATTGCGTAGATTTTGAACAAAAATAGAGAACGAGAGGGTATGGAATGGCAAGGATAGAAAATGGAACGAAAAAATGCGAATGAGTGTGAATAAAATCGGAAAGTGGCTTTCTTCGTCTATTTGTAACTGACAGGGAGAGCGAGAGCAGTAGTTTCCTCGAGGCGGTAGGAGGCCACAAACTAATTAGTTAATTAATTGATAATTAATTAATTAAAAAAAAATCTATCTCCTTTTTATTTCATGGTCAACAAGTATCTTACATTTATTAAATGAAAAAGAATATAGACAAGGATAAAACTTCTCTTACATTTATTAAATGAAAAAGAATATAGACAAGGATAAAACTTCTCTAGTTAAAACTGCATCATTGAAATGAAGAAGAGCTTCGAGTGTACTATGCAATAAGAGAAAAAATTAAGGCTTGAGCTTCATTTGGGACAATTACTTGACAGATTTTGTGATAGAAAAAGCAGCCAACAAAATGATATTTCCACTTACATGCTAGTTTTTCACAACGTTCTAAAAATAGTATTAGAAAAGCTACTTTTGAAAAGCATAATTAAAATTATGATTTACAATAGTGACACAGACATGAAATTGACAACATTATATAACTATAAAAAGTATAACACAAATCATTATGGGTACAGTATTCTACTTAATAAATTATTAAAACTAAATATGTGATTTCTTTTTTTTTTTAAAAAAAATCTTTGATCAAGTATAATATCACTTACATATACTTA